GCGGGCTTCTGGGGGTGGAAGTTCTCCTGCAGCCCCCCAATTGCCCCCTCTCCCCAGATGGCAGCCTGCGGCAAGTGCAGCTGGTCTGATGGCCAAGTGGTGTGATGTGCCCAGTGTGGGCACTCAGGGCACTCCAAGACAGGACTGCTTTGCAAGCGGGGCACCCTGAGAACTGTCTGTCCGGGGTGGGGGTCGGGACCCTTTAAGCACAGCCCTCGGCTAGCCTGAGACAGCAGCTCCACGCTCTAAGTCCTCCTCTGATGCCCTGCCGGCACTGCTTCCGGCCATCCTTAACCCCGGTTCAGGGTCCGCTTAATGTGGACATGCTAGTTCGAATTAGCAAAACGCTAATTCGAACTAGTTTTTAGTTCTAGATGCATTAGTTCGAATTAGCGCTGTAGTGTAGACATACCCTAAATCACGGCTTTACCTTGGCCGGGTCAGGTACCGGCTCCATGTCGCTGTCTGTACAGCGGGGATGACAACACTTACAGGCCCCACAGGTGGGGGCTGGTTTGATGCTTCACCCCACGGCCCAGCAACGAGCCCCCCTGGGCTGTGGGAGCTAGGTTTGCTGTTTGAATTCTGTCAGGTGATGTCAGACCTGGGTACTAGGATTATTTACTAAATCGCTTAACAGTGCTGTGATGGCCGAGTGGTTAAGGTGTTGGACTTGAAATCCAATACGGTTCCCCTGCGTAGGTTCGAATCCTGCTCACAGCGAGGCCTGTGTTTTGGCCACACCCCTAAGCAGTGCAACACACTCCCTGTCCCTTGGTCCTTTCAGAAGGGGCCCTAGATACTGCTCCTGTCTAGAGTGTGAATGGAGCTCAGCATGGATGAGGGGCCAGAAAGGCTGTCCAAGAGCGGGGAAATGCTGGGATGTGACTAGGATCCAGAGGCATCTTTCGAGTGGTGGAACTGATGCTGAAGGGGGGGAGCGGACTGCCTGTGTCCTGTCCTGCTCGGCTCTATCTCTTAACCCAGTGCCCTGCTCAGCCTCTGCCCCTCCCCACTCTGCCTCTTCCTGCAAGGCCTTCGCCTCACCCCCACTCACTTAAGGCAGAAAAAAGTCATGAAAACATCGCCCCATGGCCCCCCCCACAGCCGTGGGAAAGGGGTGGAGAGGCGCAAGCACTGGGTGACGGGAGTGCTGTCTTGGGGGAGAATAGGAAAGGCGTGAGGGCAGGTAGAGGGGCCTTGGGAGACAGGGAGTGAACAGTGGGGCAGTGGAGCCTTGGTAGGGGACAGTAACAGCCAGCATGAGGGCAGGGACTCAGGGGAAGAGGATGGCTGGGGGCGGGGCCTTGTTGGCAGGGGGCGTGGTCTAGGTATTCACGCGGCCCCCCCCCCACGCCTTTTAGGGAGCTTCTGGCACTTGTATGTGAGCATCCCCGATGTACGGGCTGCCTGGGCCTCTGAGTGTGTTAAATGCTGCCAGGTCCCGGATGGAACTTGCCCTAGATTTTCAGAGGTTCTGGACACCGACCAGTCCTGCTGGCTTCAGTTAGAGCCGCGGGTGCTCAGAAAAATCATCTGAAACCCAGGAGGAAAGTGTCTGCGTAACGCCTTTACCGTTCCGGCAGTGAAAAGGGTACGTCTCCACTGCACGCGTATTTCAAAATAAGCTGTTGCAGAAGAAATGCTCCGAAATAGCTTATTTTGAAATAGAAGGGACGCCTCAAAATGAGTCCGAGGCAGGCTCCCCTAATGTGGACGCGCTACCTCGATGTAGAGCCCCAGGAGGCACTGGGGTGTAATTAGTTTGAATGGCCCTGGGGCGGAGCTATTTCCAAATAGCTATTTCGGAAGAGGCTTTCTTCCTCGTGGAATGAGGTTTATACAAGCCGGAATAAGCTGCCCGCTATTTCAAATTTATTTTGAAATGACGGAATTGTCGTGTAGACGCTCGTGTTGTTATTTCGGAATAACGGCCATTATTCCGAAATAACGGTGCAGCGTAGTCGCACCTGAAAGTGGCCCTACAGGGGCGCAAGCCCCTCTAGACCCTCCCAGAGACAGGGCCAGCAGAGCAGGTAAGGTTCAGCCTTAGCGTCATATGAGGTGTGCAAGGAAGATTGTGGAGAATGTTTAAGGACACTTTGCCCTTGCTAGAAATTCTTTCTTGGTTTTTTTTTCCCCCCTTCCCTGTCTCTACTCGACTCGGTATCTCTGCCCGTTCCCCTGTTTGTCCCTCAGTGCCACCGTTTCTGACTAGCATAACCGCCACAGGCTGACATCTCGCTCTCTCCCCCTCTCCTCGCTCTAGCGTGGCTGCCGTCTGAGCTGGAGAAAGAACGGGGGGCCTCTCTGGCAGAGAGCGTGAAGAGGACACACAAGAAGGGTGAGTTTTCACGGGGCTAGCCTCAAAATAGGAGAAAACTGGGCCCCAAAATCCCTTCAGGGAGCAGACCAACCCACTGCCCAGGGAGCCTTTGCAACACACACAGACTGACTGGCCCTGCCCAGTGACACTGATGGACGTCGGGGCAGCCGGACAGACCTGCACTGGTGGGGAGGTGTGTTCCGCCTCCTGTCTTCAGTGGTGCTGTTGTCACTCCCTGGGCCCTGTGGCCCCTCCCGGCTGCACTCGTGTGAGCAGAGAGCCCGCTGAGCCACGCGGGGGAGGGCACGTCGCTCGCGTAGCAGCTGGTTTTCAAACTTTTTTTCCTCCTGCCCCCAAATGAAGAAAATTATTGCGGCCTGCGCCCCAGCATAATTCGACTAGAGTGCAGGCTCCGGGGTGGGGTGGAAGAGGAGGGCTTTGGGGTCTGGGAGGGGGCTCAGGGCCGGAGCAGGAGGGGGCTTACCTTGAGCGGCTCCCGGTCAGCGGTGCAGTGGGAGGTGGGGAGGCTAAGGCAGCTCCCTGCCTCTCCAGGCACCGCTTCCCCTGCAGCAACGAGACCCAGGCCCCGACGTGCTGCGCCCCAGTCCTGGGCGTGACCCCTCTGTTGAAAACCGCTGGTTTATTGGACCCATTTGTGCTGGGGAGAGACACGGCCCCGAGGGCGAGTGCTGGGCAGCGGACGGCGCGTCTCTCTTTCCCCTGGGACCAACCCTGCAGCCCCAAGCCTGGAGCCCCTGCACCCCTGCAGCAACGAGACCCAGGCCCCGACGTGCTGCGCCCCAGTCCTGGGCGTGACCCCTCTGTTGAAAACCGCTGGTTTATTGGACCCATTTGTGCTGGGGAGAGACACGGCCCCGAGGGCGAGTGCTGGGCAGCGGACGGCGCGTCTCTCTTTCCCCTGGGACCAACCCTGCAGCCCCAAGCCTGGAGCCCCTGCACCCCTGCAGCAACGAGACCCAGGCCCCGACGTGCTGCGCCCCAGTCCTGGGCGTGACCCCTCTGTTGAAAACCGCTGGTTTATTGGACCCATTTGTGCTGGGGAGAGACACGGCCCCGAGGGCGAGTGCTGGGCAGCGGACGGCGCGTCTCTCTTTCCCCTGGGACCAACCCTGCAGCCCCAAGCCTGGAGCCCCTGCATCAGTGCTCCCCTGCATGGGGGCCCGGGCACTTGGATGGAAGCCTGGCCGCTGGTGGCCCCCTATGGACATGACGCAGCCTAGGCTGTGCCCCCTCTGGCGTTTGCAGGGGCGGGGGCCAGCAGGGCCCTCTCCTCATGTCTCTCGCAGCCGGGGGATGGGAGGACGCGGGCGGTCCCAGAGCTCCGGCTCCAGACCAAGCCGGGAAGTCTGCACTGCCATGAAGCAGCCTCAGCCAGCGGGGACAGGCCAGCCCCGGGGATCTGGCAGCAGGGCTGGTCCTAACCAATTGGTGGCCCCGGGTTGTCTCCTACATCCGGGGGTCGCCATTTTTTGTCAAGCCAAAAAAAAAAGGGGGGGGGGCAGGGAGTAATCAGTGGGGAGGGGGGAAAGTGGCCAGCTCGCCCGCCCCAAAGACCGGCTCTGGACAGCAGCTCAGCCACAGCCAGCAAGGCAGCCTCTGCAGCCACCCTGACAGCCCCAGAAACACCCCTGGGGAGTGAAATCCCAGCAGGGAAATCCCGGCTCAGCTACAGCATCCAGGGGCCCAGAACACAGGTGGGAAATGGGGGCGTATCCCAGCCAGATCTGGGCTGCCAGGGAGTGTGAGACATAATCCCAGACCCCCGCCCGCCCGTTCCCCCCGAGGGCTGGCCCCCCGCCTCCAGCACTCGGATTCTCTCTCCTCCCTGCAGTGACGGTGACTCTGGACCCAGACACGGCGCATCCCCAGCTCGTCCTGTCCGAGGATGGGAAACGTGTGAGACGGGGACACACCTGGAGAGATCTGCCCGTCAGTCCGGAGAGATTTGAGTCCCGGGCCTGTGTGCTGGGCTGCGAGGGGTTCTCCTCGGGGCGGCATTACTGGGAGGTGGAGGTGGGGGGTGGGGAGCGCTGGGCCGTGGGGGTGGCCAGGGAGTCTGTGCAGCGGAAAGACTGGATCAGACATTTCCCTGGGGAAGGGATCTGGGCTGTGGAGTGTGATGGGGGCCAGTACCAGGCTCTCACCTCCCCTCTCACCCCCCTGCCCCTGATGTGGGTCCCTGAGACTTTCCTGTGCCTAGTGTGGAGATTGATGCTGCTACTGAGGCCCCGATCTTCACTTTCCCGCCAGCCTCTTTCGAAGGCGAGAGAATCCGCCCCTGGCTCTGGCTCTGGGGAAAAGGCTCCCAGCTCAGACTGTGTCCCTGAGACACTGGGGGAATGTCCCACTGGGGGCTGTCAGCTGCTTCTCCCTCGTCTCTGGCCTCCGCATCACTGCAGCCTACGGAGACGCTCCTCTCGCTCCAGCAGAACCACCTCGGTCCCCTCAGACCCTGGCCTCCAAGACTCCACCATCTCCTGGGCCGTCACAAAGCCCCGTGCTCCAGGTGCCTGTGGGACGTAGTAGGGGCTGTGTGGGCTCCTCTAGTCACTGTATTCACTCTGATTTGTATTCGTTCCGGTTGCTTTGTTGTGTTCTATGTGATTCCTATTGCCCTGTGCTGTTCTGGAGTCACACTCTGGGGCTGTGTCTACACTGGCAAGTTATTCTGGAAAATCAGCCACTTTTCTGGAAAAACTCGCCAGCTGTCTACACTGGCCGCTTGAATTTCCGGAAAAGCACTGACAATCTCATGTAAAATCATCAGTGCTTTTCCGGAAAAACTATGCTGCTCCCGTTCGGGCAAGAGTCTTTTTCCGGAAAACTGTTCCAGAAAAGGGCCAGTGTAGACAGCAGAGATTTCTTTTCCGCAAAACAGCCCCGATCGCGAAAATGACGATCGGGGCTTTTTTGTGGAAAAGCGCGTCTAGATTGGCATGGACACTTTTCCACAAAAAGTGCTTTTCTGGAAAAGCATCCTGCCAATCTAGACGCACTTTTTTCGAAAATACTTTTAACGGAAAACTTTTCCATTAAAAGCATTTCCGGAAAATCATGCCAGTGTAGACATAGCCTCTGTGTGTGTGTATGTGTGTGTGTGTGTGTGTGTGCGTGCACATGCGCGCCTCAGTTTCCCCGGGCACTGCAGAACTATCTGGATGAGAAGCGGGAGGGTGGGCATGACTCACTGTGGAAGTATCTTCAGTCTCTCCCATCCTGAGGGCCTGGTGACAGCAAGTAATCCCTTGGGCCTGAAAGCAGGACAAAGCCGGAGGCCTAGGGGGCTGTGAGCAGTGGCTGTGAGTTAGTTTGGCTGGCGGGAGGAGAAGGGAGCCTAGCTGGCCTGGGGGGCTGGGGCAGGGTCCCAGAGCTGAGGCCCCTCTTTTCCCCAAGATGGGCTGTACTGAATGCTCCTGGTTCCTGTAACAAGAAGTCTAAATTACGCGGTGTCCCTGTGAACCAATAAACCTGTTCTACTTGCTGACTGAGAGGCACATGTGACTGCGTATGGGGGGCGCAGGGCCCGGGGATGCCCCCACACTCCAGGACAGCCTGTGGGAGCAAGAAGGGCGGGGTCAATGTATTAGGAGCCCATTGAACCTCCGCGCAGAGCTGTGCTCCAACGGTTGGCTCTGGGAAATGCGAAAATAAAACCAACGGTTCCGGTCTGAGCCTTGCAGGAGGTTTTTCCCACCTGCAAGTGTGATGGTCCCACTGCAGCCCACCCCCTGGGGCCTGAGCCAGCCATCCCCACATCTGAAGCAGAAGCTGCTCCGGGGGTCCGACTCTGAGCCGGGCTGTAGCATCCACAGCGCAGACCCAGTGACCCCCAGCCTAAGCCGGGGCAGGACCTTAGAACACTGTGTCCTGTCGGCCCACAGTGGCCAATGCAGGTGCCCCAGAGGGAGTGAACAGAACAGGAAACCACCAAGTCATCCACCGCCTATCGCTCATTCCCAGCTTCTGGCAAACAGAGACTAGAGCCAGGCCAGAGCTAATGAAATCTCTGGGGAACCAAGGGACAGACACAGCCCTGGGCAGCCAGGGAACATGGTCCTATGGGAACATGGAACGTGGGGGTCTCTGTTTGGTGGGGGGAGAGAAAAGGAGCCTGTCATGATTATGAGGGTTAGCCAGCAGCCTGGGGATTAAGGGGTTAACTACACCTAGCCAGGTGGAGTGACCAATAGGAATGTAGGTGGGATTTTTCAAACTGGGACAAAGGAATTTGGGTTTCTCTCTTTTCTCCCTTTTGTCTCTGGGAGAGAGTTCTCTGCAGCTACAGAGAGGGACAAGCATGTCTCTCTCTCTCTCTCCAAGACACCATTCTTCATTTTCTGTAAGTAGGGTAAAGTTTAGGTAGTTTCGTTAGGTTTTATTGTTTTAAGGGTTGGGTATGGGATCTGAGATCTGGCATTGCTTAAAAGATGTTTTGGCTTTTCTTTGTAACTAAGTTCTAGGCCCATGGAGTTTCTCCATGAGTATATTTTGTTACCTCCCTACCTAGTCATTATGTTTGCAACAGGAATATTGTTGTAATAATAAAAGTTCTTTCTTTTCTTTTATTAACCTGGCAGTGGTTAATTGTGTGCCTTGATTTTTATTTTAGGGGTGAGATTTCCCAAATGATCTTTTCCCTGATTTCTTTATCAACATTTGGGTGGTGGCAGCGGAAGTTTTATTCCCAAGATCTAGTTTTTAAGATTTGGGGGGAATTTTTATACCAAAGCCTGGTAGATAGGGCTTTGGGGTACACTTGCTGGCCCCCACTTCTGCATTCATCATGCCAGAGTGGGGAAGGAGCCATGACAGAGCCAAAAGGACCAGGGAAGTCCCAGCGTGCGTCTTTGGAGAAGAGCTTAAAAACCCCCAAATAGAAGCGCAAGGAGTTGCCCGGCCCCGCCCAGTCACCTCTAAGAAACGTGCAGCTGCTGCAAAGCCCAGAGCTCCAGCGCCCCACAAGCCCCACACACCAGCAGCCCCCGTGGCTGCAAAGGGATCTCCCTCCTCCGCTGGGCTGCTCCAGTCCTGGGGCCCTTGCTCCGCCCCGCCCCAGGGAGCAGCCCCTGGTCCAGGCCTGTCACTTCAGCTCAGTTTTCTCGGCAGGCTGGGGTGGGACGTCAGGACATCAGTTCTACTCTGGGGTCACTGCGGCAGCTGCTCTGTGCTGGGGTCAGTGCTGCTCCTGTCAGTCCTACTGTAAACACAGCTGTACCCCAGCACCATCCCCTCCGGCCCATTCCTCCCTGCAGGGCAGGGGCAGGGAGGGGAAGAGGCTGTCGGGGGACAGGGCTCCGGGGGAAGGAGAAGGCTGGGGATAGATGCCCAGGCTCCATCCATATCCCTGACCAGCCCTTTCCCGATGTAACCATTCTGCCAGGTTGCACCAGCAACAGCCAGGGCTGGGTTCGATATTTAGGGGTTCCTCTCCATCCATCCCTCTGTCTCCAGCTCCCAGTGACCTGGGAAATTCACACAACAGCCCTGGGCGCCTCTGAGGGGTGACGCTTCCCCCGCTCGCAAGCACAGAGTTTGAGAGGAAAAGAAACCTTTAATAGATGAAGGGGAGTAACGTGGCATTAATTTGGGAAACCGCCACAAACAGAGTTCATACCCAAACCCGCGAGTAAACGTCCCACCCCAAGCAGGCTCGGCAGCGTCCTTTGCCTCTCCGGTTCTTACGTCCAGCAATGTAAACGTCCCCTTCACATGCCCCACCCTTCTCTGCACCCCACTCCCAGCTGCTGAGAACTCAGGGCAGGTCCAGAGTTCAGAGGTGCAGTTGCAGAGTTCACTTCCCATCCCGAGTGCAGGGGAGGTAAAGAGGCATCTTACTCATCCCGCTGGTCACCCGCCATCTGCCTGCTCCCTGCTCGCCATTTGTCATCCCTCGCCGCGGCCGCTCTGTGGGCCGCTCCTCACGCCTCTCCTTCGCCCCCTGCCGGCTGCTCATCATGCTGCTCGTTGCATGTTCTGCTGGCTTGCGGTGGATTTGGCTCTGGGGCAAACCTAGCGATTTCACCCCAAAGCACAGTCCAGCCACAAGAGTAAATTTAAAATAATAAAAGAGCCTCCTCGTGGAGACTGCTCTAGTTTTAGCATTTGAGGTGGGGTGGGGGAAGAGACCAGTCTTACAGCTCACACCTGGAGGACGTGCAGCCTGCTGATTTAGAGCCCTGACATTTAACTTCACAGAGTTTTGGTAGGGAAGCCCTTGTCCATCTGAGCTTCTTTACACTGACACTCTCCTTTTGAACTGAGTTAAACACAGTCTGCCTGTCCTGAATCCCCACAAATAACTGCAAGCATCGCTGATCATCTCTCACAATTCCTGCATTTAGGCTACGTCGACACTGCACGGTTTTTGCAAAGTGTTGAGATTACAAAAACTCACTCACTCAATGAAATCATTGTGTAGCTTACTGCATGTGCTCTCTCTCTCTCTCTTTCTCCTCCCTATATTTAGGATACCTAATATATATTACTGTTATTTGCAATAGGAATAAGCACTAAAACTTCTGCTACAAAGAGAATGAGTGGCAAACTTAAGCAGGAACTGAGCTTCTGGGCTGGGAAGTCTTTCTGGTACAAAGATAGGTAAAGAACTGTGAAAGTTTGGTTAAAAAAAGCGGAAGAGTTCTTGCACAAAAACTTAAGAACATCAGAACGGCCATACCAGGTCAGACCAAAGGTCCATCTAGCCCCGTATCCTGTCTGCCCACAGCGGCCATTGCCAGGTGCCCCAGAGGGAGTGAACCAAACAGGAAATGATCAAGCGATCTCTCTCCTGCCATCCATCTCCACCCTCTGACAAACAGAGGCTGGGGACACCATTCCTTACCCATCCTGGCTAATAGCCATTAATGGACTTAACCTCTATGAATTTATCTAGTTCTCTTTTAAACACTGTTATAGTCCTAGCCTTCACAACCTCCTCAGGCAAGGAGTTCCACAGGTTGACTATGCGCTGTGTGAAGAAGAGCTTCCTTTTATTTGTTTTAAACCTGCTACCCATTAATTTCATTTGGTGACCCCCCTAGTTCTTATATTATGGGAACAAGTAAATAGCTTTTTCTTATTCACTTTCTCCACCCCACTCATGATTTTATAGACCTCTGTCATATCCCCCCTTAGTCTCTGAAAAGTCCTAGTCTCTTTAATCTCTCCTCCAATGGGACCCATTGCAAACCCCTAAGCATTTTAGCTGCCCTTCACTGAACCTTTTCTAATGCCAGAATATCTTTTTTGAGATGAGGAGACCACATCTGTGGACAGTATTCAAGATGTGGGCGTTCCATGGATTTATATAAGGGTAATAAGATATTCTCCGTCTTATTCTCTATCCCTTTTTTCAGGGATGCTTTTGTGATGCGCTTTTGCACAAGAGAGCATTCACACTGCCTGGATACTCTCACCAAGAAAGCTCTAGAGAACCTGTGCTTTTTCGGATAGGCTCTTTTTGGGCAAGAAACCCCTGCAGTGCATCCACACATGCCTTTTTGTGCAAGTGCTGTAGCACAAAAAGGTGTTATGTCTCATAGAAGGAGGCATACCTACATGGCAAAAAAGCCCTCTGTTCTGTCAATTGACTGTAGATTTTCTTGCACAAAAACAGGTGAATATCTATCAGGCCTAAGCAAACTGACTGAACTGTATTTACATGCACACATTCACAATCTC